GCCTGATCGAGCTTGAGAACCATGCAAACCTTATCATAAAGCTCCTTAACTAAAGCCTTTATGCTCATAAAGCCCTATCGGGTAGACAGGAATTCCTCCACGCCGGCCCTCTCCCACGCTGAGATCTCCCAGCCAACCTATCCCAATCGTACGCAAAAATGGACACATGACCGTCTCCGTCACAAAAGGAATTCCCTTTGCTAAAGATTTGTAGGGCACTGCTTGGTGTTCGCCGCTATGCTTCGTCGCATGATGATCACCGGCCGGAGTCGAACAGGGTTTCCCGTATCTGCAGCGGAGATTTTGAGGTGAAACACCAGAGGTCCTGAAATGCGAGTGAGGAGAAAAGTGCCATAAAAGGGGGATATGATCTTTCTGTTCCAGCCCTGTTTATCCGTCCATTTGTTTGGGAGATTTGAACTTGGCATAATGAAAGACCGGTGATGGAAATCCGCCTTGTCAATCACGATGGCATTGGTGTTATTACTGCAGTCTGCGGTGGCGAGGAACGCGACGAAAAAATGGTAGCTATTAGGCCGAAGCGCCATGCATACGCGGCAATGATGTACCTAGGTACGCACATATCTATGAGTTTATATTGCTTTGAGGGTGATGATATGAACCCTTTTGAAGCTTAGGGATGATGTCGATCTTGCATCATTGCTTCCGTTTGTGTTCGGGCCATGAAATATGAAGACATGGTGACGATGGTGACGGTGGTGACAAAGGTGATAGTAGAGAAATTGAAGAATTAATATGAGCAGCAGAAAAACTTCAACATTAGATTTAAGCTTACAATAAACAAACTATATGTCTGGAGCATGGTAGATTAGGAGTAAGTTGTCATACTGGATCCCGACATTTTGTCCCTTCAAAACACGGATGAACTCTTCTAGTGTACTCAATTTTGTGTCGTCTTCATCAACCCATGGCTTACTTGTCGGCGATCTACTGGGCCGACCAATGACTCGTCCACCAGCACTGACATATACTGATCGGACATCCTTGCCGCTTGCAATCTTCATTCAGTCGTCGGCCACCGCCGATCTTCTCTTTGATTTACAGTCGGTCACCTCAAAACAGAGAAGACTTACATACATACCACTTAACTTTTATATTTTCATACATGTTTACATGCATACCACTTACCTCTTACGTTTATATATTTACATGTCACTTAATTCGTATGTGTGCATCCAGAGATAACCCATCGACCGGCCACTTACATGTCAATTATCCGCCTCACTATGGTTGGCCAGCCGCCTCGCCGCTCCAACCCGAAAGCGTGAAGGACAATCAAATCCATGGAAGGTTTACATGCATGCCCCTCAATCTATATATATTTATATATTTGCTTACATCCTCTCAATTTATTTTTCCAACAAATCACCCTCTGACCAGCAACTCGCTGTCTGATTAATCGTTGTTCCAATCGCCTCTAGCTGGCCACCAGCTCCCAGTTAACATATATAACACCTATTATGAAAGTTTTATGGATATACAAGATTCCAAATGAAATTTTCTTATATCTAGATCAAGGTCTAGGGGCTCGAAGGAGTTCAAGCATTCTTGAACCTACCCGACACTTTGAAACTACGGAATAGCGGATAATTCATTATAATGATATGATGAATTCTTTTACATTTGATGTCGAGCGGTGGTTTGGGCCAATTCCCTTTGTCAGTTGAGCTTCCTATCACTCAGATCCCTTCTCTCCTTTCCTCTTTATTTCATCTGAATCTAGAAAACCTTGGTAGCTACACTGCCCGCCATGTTCTTTGTCGACCACCTCCCTTAAGTATCAAGATTTATATAGCGTTTCAGTCCTCAAATCATTGTTGGACCTCACTACCTCCTCGTATTCAATAGAAATATCAAAACATTGTTGTATACAAATCCCACATCCACTGAAAAAAAAAAGTGCAGCGCTTGGCTACAACCGACCGACCTACATTCAGCTACCCTATCATCCGGCCGACCGACGTTGAGCCGCCTGCATATCTGCATTTTTCGTCGACAGGTGGTCTCTTTTTCGGGAAAAAATGTTACATCCGGACTCCGCATGCAGAACTGCTTGAGGAATCTAATCTCACGCTGACACGTGCGACCCGGCCCGGCCGATGTGTTATAGAAATATTTCATTGCGTTATTCTGAATATTTTTTGCGTTATTCATGTGTTATTGGTGGGTTATTGAAGGTTTAACAATATTCTCTTGTGTTATTCATGTGTTATTTAATATATTATTCAATCCGTGTTATAGGAATATTCTCTCGCGTTATTCAGAGTATTTTTTGCATTATTCATGTATTATTTAATGTGTTATTGATGTATTATTCATGTGTTATAAGTGTGTTATTGAGGATTTAGGAATATTCTCTCGCGTATTCATGTGTTTTAATGTGTTATTCTCAAAATCACTTCAATAGCACACCAATAACACATGAATAATGCGAAAAATAATTAGAATAACGCGAAGGAATATTCCTATAACGCATTTTCATTTTTTATGTAGGTGAGCCCGACCCTCCATGTGTCAGCACGAGATTGGACTCCACAAGTAGCTCTGAATGCGAGTTTTGATATAATTGTTGTACACAAATCCTACATCCTCTAAAAAAAAAAATTGCAACGCTTTGCTACAATTGACGGGCCTGCATCCAGCTACCTTGCCATCTAGCCGACCGACGTTGAGCCACCTGCATATCTGCATTTTTCCGTCAACCGGTGGACTCTTTTGCAGCCAGCCACTAACAGTTCTTGACCGTGCGAAAAAGTAATTGTCCTCTGGCTGACTCCCTCTATCGCATGGAGGATCCACCACGCCAATTGAATCCTCAGTCTGCTTCTCCCTTATCCTGCAGATCCTCCCCCGTACTAGCCATCTCCCGATCGGTCATATCCCTTTGTTGCGCATAAGCTCACCCAGCTAGAACCTTTTGAGTCAGCTATCTCTCAATCAGGTATTGTTGTCCCACGGAAGCTCGTTCGCACCAGACCATTCCACCACCCGACTCGCCCCAGCCGTGCCTCTTCTCCATCCCTCAGCTTTCTTCTCCTCTATCCCGAGAAGTCTCAAGTCTCCTGGACCACACGTGAATCCTCGGTTGAAGCAAAAGGAAACAACTTTTCAGAAAAGATACTTTGGGTGCACATATACATACCTATGAGTAGTCAAAAAAATATATATATATATATGTATGTATGTATAGATACCACACTTTGATTTTGCAACTAAATCCGTATCAAATTTTTCATATAGATTTTTCTCTAAACATCTTAAACAAATACCATTATTACTGATTGTGCGCAAAAATTAAACTATATTTATAGATGTCTTCAGCCCCATATAAATTGTTGCTTTTCCGGTGCATATATATTATTTTCTTCAAAGTTTACTTTATGATACATACACTTAATAAAAGTTTGTACGTCTATGTGAAAAGTTCAAGATCAAGACTTGGCGAAATCAAAAATTTCATGCATGTCAGTTATCACTCGACACTTGGGGAACTCGAATCCTGATAGTAAAACCGACAACGACGTCAAGAGCCTCCGATCGGTCAAAAGTATGAGAAACAACCGACAATGATGCCCTTGCCAAGAGCGTTCGATCGGTTAGAAGCATAAGAAGCAACCGACAATGATGAGATAAGCATCTGATCGGTCAAAAGCATAAGAAACACCTGGCAGCGACAAGTTCTGCAAAGGGTGCAGAACTCTAAGACTTCCCTCCAGGGCGAGCATCTCCAAGCCGAGCATCCCCAAGACTTTCCTCCAGGGCAAGCAAGGGACTAGAAACTCTAAAATTCCCCTCCAGAGCAAGCAACTCCAAGACTTACCTCCAAGGTGAGCATCTCCACGACTTCCCTCCTGGGCGAGCATCTCCAAGACTCCCCTCCTGAGCGAGCACCTCTAAGACTACCCTCCGGGGTGAGGATGAGCATCTCTAAGACTCCCTTCCGGGGTGAGCAACTCTAAAACTTTCAACGGTCGACTTTCCTCCGACGACCGACTTTTCCTCCGAACATCCATCGGAGTCTGACAACTTTCCCCTGACAGAAAAAACTCCAAAATGACAGACTCAGCAGATGATGACAAATATATCAAGCGCGAAAAGCGCTAGTAAGGGGTATCATTAGCAAATTATGTGTTCAAGATTTATTTTATTTATAAATTTTCTTGTCTTTACTACAACCGTCGCTATCAATGAGGAAAAAATATTGAGAAACTTAATATGTATATCTAAAAATGGTCTGCAAAGATCTCAAGGCAATCTAACGATAAAAAAAGGACTAAAATGTCATATACACTTCTCTTCAAAGCAAGCTTAAATATGTAATTTTTATTATATTTTTTGTCTCTTCTATCTTCTATAAATATGAGGGTTTTATGATGTAGAGGGGACCTTGAGCTCCTCCACATTTTGTAACATAAAATTTTATGGAATAACAAGGGTCTACGAACCAGGGGAACAACCCAATTTCCCTTGCCCCTAGGGGAAGTATTCCTCTCCTTTTCCCCTTCTCTCTCTCTCTCTCTCTCTCTCTCTCTCTCTCTCTCTCTCTCTCTCTCTCTCCCTCTTTCAATTTCTTTCCTCTATCCAACGCTCTATTCCTTGAGCACGGTCTACCGGACAGATTTGGATTTAACAAAATAAAACTCAAATATTTCGCATTACAAAAAAAATACAACAATAACTGACATTTTTTAAAGTGGAATACACTTTTTAATGCATAGGTTTATAGCACCAAGGTTGTATATATGTAAATATGAATGTTTAAGTGTTAGATATGTAAACACATGAGAATATTGTGGTAAGTATGTAAATTTCCCTAAAAGTTAAGATATAGAGGTAAAAGGCTTAATGCTTGAAGCCAATCATATTAAAGATTACAACTACAGCGATATAGAAAAATACATACTTTTGGGCTGTAAATCAATAAAAGAATCCCGAAGAAAAGACAGAAACATAAAACAAGTGAGGGATCAATCGCATACCTGATGAAGAAATTGGGCGTAGTTCCTCAGAATCAATGCATTACCAGGGTCCTCTTCAATCAGCCTCTTATAATAAATTTCAAGCTCATAATCTTCTCCTCCATAGTCAGTTTTCACAGAATAATTCCCATCTCTCCCATCACCACTACCAGCACCAATCACAACTGCTCCATCATTAACGCCAAGGTCCATGAGCCCTGAAGCCAGGCGATCGATTCCAAGCCCTCTCGCAAGGAAAAGGGGCTGGGAAGCCCTCTGGCTTAGCTCGCCACCGTTATACTCTCCATGGTCTAGGAAGCTAAATTTCTCATCAATCTGGAAGTCATCCTGCTCCTGCAGCTTTTCCTCCTCGTCTTCTTCAACAGTTACATAGCTGTACAAGGAGAGTGACGGGGCCGTCTCCAGAGCTACATCCCGGCGGCGGGAAGAAGAGGGCTTCAGTGACCTTTGGAATTGGGAATCAACTGAGCAGTTGGAGAGGAGATCCTTAATACTTCCTTCGGAATGACTTCTTCTAATCAAGCCGGCAGATGCGTCTCGTTCAGAGGAATCCAAGATATGGGAGTAACGGCAGCAGATTCCGTGGAGGATGGTGGAGGAAGAGGAGTTAGTCCTCTCAAGGCACTGGTGGTGCAATTGGTGGCCATTGTTAGGGTTATCAGAGAATACTGCTGAGGAACATGAGATGAGTGATCCAAGAATAGGAGTGGAAGAACTCTTGAGCAGCATCTTCTCTCTCTCCAATCTCTTAACTCCCCTTTCTCAAAACCCTCTTTGTAAACAACTCTGTGAGCCCCGTGTGGACCGCCAATCCTGATAACCAAGTTGAGATAACTTTTTAGCTTTTACCATTAAAGAATCACGGGCAGCGTCATTCTCCATAGCCACATGTGAGACAGCTAAACCATGAAAACAAAGATAATATAAAGAAGTTAGCAGTCAGATGAAATAAGACGGGCTAATGGAGAATATGAACCCGGCAAAATAAATTAACACTGTAACAAGAAGATCAAGTGGCTCCAAGGAGAAGAGGAACCTGTCAGATTCTGCAGTGGAAGCAAACCCTAACAAGGCAGAGGTCTTTTTCATTGTACACGGAGCGCTTGTGATGGCACGTGCTTGAAGTCGACTGCAGAGAGAGACGTTGACGATGGAAAATAGCGGTATATATATGGCCAATTTTATATTTTATTTCTTATTTTTAATTTTTTTTTAATATTTAAATGCTATTTATTTTGTTTAATTTATTTTTTTTTTTTTGAATAAATTTTAAGAAAATAACTGTTTTAATAAATAAATAAATTTAGTCATATATGCAACTTTAAATATAAATTAAAAAAATTAATTTTTTCAATCATTAGGCCAATATGATTTGCATTAAAGCTCGTTCCATCATGTATAGTTTTTATTTTAAAATAAATTAAATAATTTTAGGATGTTTTGTTTATTAGAATATAATCAAAATGATCTCATCTTATTATTTATTATGCCGATTGCCAAACACTTCTTATTTGTTTAATTTGTACAAGACAATTGGATAAAAATTTCACAAATTATGTTGGCTATATGTTGATAGCCATTCATCATTCATTTTCTAATATATGGGCCTGATATTCATAACTATCTTACCCTTTTTTTTTGTTTGATATCTTGAAGTACAAAATTTGATTGCCAATACAACAAAATATTATTAGTAGCGGTAGTTTTATGTGACATTTTAAAATTGTCATCATAAAAGGGCTATGGTAGCGATAAGCGTCGTTGAACTTAGTGGCGGTGTAAACTACCTGGTAATATGATTAAATCCTCCCATATATTGCGCTAGCGGCAAACTTATTGGTGTGTCCTAACACCCATGTACTCGCTGATTTGTTGTATGATCCAACCGCCCTCACTTCTTTGTCGACCTATGGCTCCCTCATTGCCTCAGTATTATAGCTAAAGTGGTTGGATCACCTTGCATCATCATCGGCCTCCGTTCTTGTACAGGTGCTCAAGTCACTTTCTCCAAAATCTACCTCCCTCCTTAGGCCAATAATAGTTATTTATTGATCTGTTGTTTTTTCTTTTTTCTATTCTTAAGATGTAACATGTTTACCAGCATTGCAAACTGCTGTCACGGACTATTTCAGGGTTATTGAGAAGTTTGTGGTTCCACTTTAATATTTTTTTAGCTGGACTCGATATAGCACACAAGACGGTAGATTATTGGGAGTCTGCAGGTAGAGCTAAGTCCGGAGTCCGGTTAGAAAATTTTTCCACACCACTCTTTTATTCCTTCTTTCTGTTAAGCCAAATCCAAGCCACCCGTTTATTTAAGAGGTAAGAACATACGAAAAATTTTATTTTATTGGTTTTGTTTTATCATGAGATCATTTAGTTTGCTAGTATGGGTTTCAGGTTATGTAGGAAGTGTTGCAAATGTGAATTTTGGAATCTGCAATTTATTCAGCTACTTGGTTTCAGATCTGAAAGATTTCATGCTATCATTTTATTGGCTTGTGGTGTTTAAGAAGAAAGGTTTTCATTTTACAGTTTTGTAAGTGCTTTGTTTTGTAAATCTTTTGGGATTTTACTATTTTGTAGCCAGTAAGAATTAGAGTCTAAATTATTGGCGTGCTTGAAAGAGACGAAAGATGTTGAGTTTATGCAAGATTGGGAGTCTTCATTTGTACTGTTTAGTGATGATCTTGGTTAAAGAGTGCTTGAATGTCTCATTAGTTTCGCCTTGTAAGTACTCGTTTTTGTCACTTCGGCGTAGAGAGAAAATCTTGTACATGTTATTCACATGTATTCCAAGGCACTTGCATGTTTTTTAAGCGGGTGTCGACATGACTTGAATGATTGTATCAGTATGCCATTTTTTAAGAGTAGTAGGAAAGTTTTTTTTTTATTATTCGATCAAACCATCCAGGTGGGGATGACGACGAGAGGCCGGCAGCATATTACCAAATGTTTGACTGCATGAGAATTTAAACAGAGGCTAAACATTACTCAAACCGGACTTGAATAAAATGTAAATTGGACCTTTAAGAACATAAAAAAAAATTGCATGAATAATAAGATAATGCAAAGAAAAAGACTAAGAGCTAAGAAATGAATATGGACTCTCCAAGGATCGGCAGATCCACTGAAAATGCTAGCAAGAACCTCTCACTCTAAGATGCACACTCAAGGAAAAAGTGAATGAGAAGGGAGTTGAATGAGGCATGACACCTCCCTCCTACTAAGGCAAAATTACTCTTTCTGGATAACGTACGTAGAATTATGTGTGGAAGCCAATTCAAAAATATTTTTTTTTTACTTTTTATCATTATTTTATTTTATAAAATATATTTTAATCTCTAAAATGAGAAAAAAAAACACGCGTAATGTGCTGCCCGACACCAACCCGACCCCAACCCGACCCATCCCATCCAAATAAAAGCTAATACAACAAATATAGAGATTGACACTTTTGGCGTTTGGGGTTCGTTCGACGTTTCATATCTGAGATCGACATTAAACTCACTAGTGTCTGCTCTAAGGTTTGTTGTTCGATATTTTCTACCCCCTGAGATTCCTATGTTATACCAAGGTTGGGCTTCAGCATTTTGTTCCCTTTTTTGTTTAGTTTCTTTATTTTGTTTGCCAACATTTCCTCATTATACAGCTTCACATTTTTGTTTGTCTCCCAGCGTAAAGATGAAGAAAAGACTGAGAATCTCGTTGGAATCAAAATACAACATACAACAGTTGTGTGTGATCTAGTAGTTGTTTTTTTGTAAGTAAATTCGATGATATGCTTGCAAATATGAGACAATCATTGGCTTTTCTTTTTTGATGTTTTTTTTTCGAACTGAATTTTTTTTTTTTTTTTTTTTTTTGTATTTTGGTGCATGCTAATAAAATACAACGATGTTATATTGGTTATATTTATCACCTCAACATAGCCAATATAACATGGTTGCACTGAATGAATTTAGCAATGTAAATATTGATTAAAAATCTAAATAAAAAATAACTGATTTTTCTTTTGTACAACCATATTATATTGATTGTACTGAGGGAACTCAACACAACCAATACAACACGGTTGTACTAACATAAGATAGAAATGTTGATTTTTGTTTAAAATCAGAATAAAAATAAATAGTTATATAGATGAATGAATTTTTTATTTTTTTATATTCCTAGCACATACGATTGAGTGATTATTTCTCATGTACAGCCAAGTTGTAATTGTTGTACTTAGGTGACTCAGTACAATTGATACAACATGATTGTACTTAAATAAGACAGCAATGTTGAGTTTTGTTTAAAATCTTAATAAAAATAAAAAAAAATATGGGTATATAAACAAAATGAATTTTTAATTTTTGATTTTACTCACACCTGTGATTGTCTGATTATTTCTCTTGTACAACCAAGTTATATTGGTTATTCCGAGGTACCTCAATGCAACTGAACAACGGAATTGTACCAAAGTAAGACATCATTGTCTAGTTTTCCTTAAAATCTAAGTAAAAATAAAAAAATGATATGTAGACAAAATGAATTTTTACTTTTTACATTTCCTTATGATTGTCTGATTTTTTTCCCTTCATACAACCATATTATATGGGTTGTACTGAGGTAACTCAATACACCGATATAACACGATTGGACTGAAGTAAGCAGCAGTTTTGAGTTTTGTTTAAAATCTATTTTAAAAAAAAATGGACAATGGTCGCTAGAAGCTCCAGTTGGAAAGTCAGCTATGGAAGAATAGAGAGTTGCGGCAGCGGTCTCTTTTGGAATTTCCTTAAAAACAAATGCTCCTATGTCATCTTTCCCTGCATCATCAAGATAAGATGTATATTTTCAAGGAATGATAGCAACATTGTCAGTCACTGTGTCTTGAATGACAATAGTAGTTTGACACACAGAGAAGATATACGTCGAGACTACACGCGGATCCTCATCTTCTACGGAGTTACCTGGTGTCGCGAGACGCTTCTGCTTCTAGTGCATAGCAGCGACCTTCTCCTTCGCCACCTTTGCTCGGACCACCTCATCAATGTTTGAGAGGTGCCATTGTTCCTCGGTCATCTCACCCGCCGGTACACGGGTAACTGTTTGCCTCAATGGTGTATTGTCGGGCTGAGGGGTAACAACTTCTCAGCATCACCTTACCAACTTCCATACTCTCGGGAAGAAACTTCAGCCTGTACACCACCCAATCTGACGACTCGGTCTGGATACCCCGAGCGCCATAACAAGAGCTGACTAATAATTTCGTTTTTAGATCATTTTTTTTTCTCCACTCCCAGCAAGTGGAGTTTCTTATCTGCTGAAAACATTGCGAAACTCTCCTTATCAACATTAAAATGAGTAAAAAATTCTTAAATAGGTCGATTGACCACAGAATGCACTCTTGACGACAGTACAGGACGAAGGACATCATGGCGGCCACGAAGTTTGGCAGTACTTTTGTCGAAATAACTCTATATGTGTTGAAAACACTCTGGAGCCCATCACATAGAGGTAGTTAGAGGATATATTTGAACAGGTCTCGGTAAAAGATCATATCCCTGCCCAGGATGTCCATCTCTCGAGCTTACCTCGATAACTTCCGAAGAGTGACACTATTAAATAGAATGTACTTCTTTTGCAACTCCTTCAACTCGTTCTCCACTAAAAATAAAAAGTCGGCACCCTTGACGAAGCCAAATAGATTATGGGAATATTTTGGAGTCATTGCAAAGAACAAAAAGGCGTTCGAGAGTCAAAAGTAGAAGGAAGATCAAAAACGCAGAGAAAGTAACCCGGACTTATAAAGTAAAAAGAAGTAGTTCCTTGTCCTATTTATAAGTTGAATGCATAAAATAATGCATCCCATAATGATAAGTGTCACAAAAAATATTTTTTAAATTTATTCAAATGACATTTCATTTTTAAATAATATTATCACAGGTCTAGAAAACATTGTTTTATGAAAGGGCCTTCCAAGACCTCAGTCGGGAAATACCCCTTCTAAGTTAACCTTTGGAAGACCATCGCCCCTCCTAACCTAATCTAATCCATCTGGTCAGCTTTTCGCTTGAACTTGCCAAGATAATTTGACTCATCAAGCTCCCCTAGCCTACACGGTGCCTTGACTAGCCCACTTCTCAAGATGACGACCTCTGCCTGCAAAGCCTGATACACCCGAGCCCATGGTTGCCAGAAGGGCTAATAACTCCAATACAAAAACTACAGCTAGAACTCCGACCACTCCCTCTGAAGAACCAACAATCACCGTCAAGGGCTCGGTCCCCCCTGATTGCTGCTCCATGATGCCATAGCAAGACGACCACCACTCTGTTTGCTTCTATTCAAATCTAGTGGCAAACAAAGAGTTGGAAAATTTGATGCCCTTCCAAATTGATTGCGGGCAGAAGCCCCACATATTTTGCTTACAGATTGGCCCAACAGTAGGGACAGGCTAGGCATTATCTTTCGACTGCCCACTGTCTTAGTGATCCTCCAACTTGAACGATTCATCTGTGTTGCAATATTTTAAAAAAAAAAAATTAAAGAACATGAACGGAAAAAAAGAGCTTTGTGTACCCATAAATCTATCTTTTTAAGAAAGGGTTGCCAAATTTTTTTATCTCACTTATGTGGTAAGGTTCCTTTAGCTTCGTGCAATGGCCGCTGAGGAGAGACAGTGATCGCCATTCCCCTCAGCTCCATTCCACTTTTCTTAGCCCCTAAGGCAAGCAAGACCTGCTGGTTCTATGCGCTTACACCCTTGCCAAACTCGAGGACTATGGCCTCCTGACGAGGGAATTTTGGCATTCACCCCTCGGGACCCCCAAAAGAGTCAACTTGATTAAGTGATGAAGGTTCGGGCCTCGACCGTTTCCCTTTCTTAGTCTTGTTCTTCTTCACAGAGACCGAGGGCTCGTAACCTTCCTTGACAAAAAGTTTAAGGTCCACGGTGATCCGACTTGAACTATCAGTCATGATGCAACTCGGTTAAATGGGAAAAAATGACGGCAATAGATGCCACACTAAGCATATGACTCTATTTTAGAGCACACTCGACACAAATTCTAAAGGGAGGTTCATTATTGAAATAATTTTCTTGATTTTAGCATTATTGATTATTAAATAGTTTTCATGTCTTCATTTTAGCTGTCATTTTCAACGAGTTGGAAATATTGGGAGCCAATATCTGTACACTAGAGTTGTCAGTACAAACCTCAAATCAATTGAGCGGCCCAGGATGGTTGCTGGACAATTATGGCATCAGGATAAATAAGCACGATCTGAGTCGACCATTCAAACGACAAACCGTGTGATCGGAGTCAGCCGACACACCATGACGAGATATTCAATTGGAGAACCACAGTCCTAACTGCTCGAACTCCATACATGAGCATCCGATCACAACCAGTCGACCAACTGACACTTACTTTTGCAGGTGCAGTCGACATTTGACTGGTCGCCTCAGTCGGTCGAACCCAGATGAGTCCACTGGTTGGTTACCAGTATATTCAAATTTAAATCGTAATACAATTTTTTTACTAAATCAAAAAGATTTATTGCTTTAAGGATGATTTTCATAATCGCTCCATCCTTTCTATAATTGTAAAAATACACCTCTATAAATAAAAGAAAAAAATACGAATAAAAGGGCCTCCCCTCATTCATCAATGAAAATTTTATTAATCATTCAACTCTCTTTCTCCCTGAAGGTGTGTGTTCACAAAGGACAATTAAGGATCCAACATAAATAACCTCAAAATCCATGTGAATCTCGAAAAGCATGCATCAATCTTAAAAATATACATCGGTCAATTTTAAATATATTTAAATTGTGTGATGCCTCAAGATTCATCTAAGTGTATGCTGATGCATGCATGCCACAAAAATGTGTGTATTTTTTCTAATAAGTGCGCTAATTGTTTTATCATGTAGTCTTAGAATATTGCACGGGCAACAGGTCGCTTTGTCTAAGGACAGGTCGTAAGTCCCATCTTTAGACGTTTCGAACCTCCTTTCAAACAGAGACTAGAGTTGACAAGACTGAGCCTGTAGTCTGATCCTCCTCTTAATAAAGACAGGAGTTAACATGATTGACGCATTTTTTGAACTCGAGTCACTAAATTTAATTGTAAAAAAAGCATCTTATATCAACTTCCTCGATGATGGTCATGTTGATGATAAATCTCAATTGGATATCTATTCATAAAATTTAATTATAAAACTCTACAAGTTGGAAATTTTAATGTGAAATCTATCACTCCAAAGCTTGAGCAAAATCCATCTACCCTCCATACCAGTTTGTTGAGGTAGACAAGTCTAAGATTAATCTAAGGTCACAAATAACAACATTATATAATTTACACCACTAAATTTACACTCAAAATAATCTCATGCCAATAAGGACATAGCTTGTGTCCGCTTTCCATGTGCTTGACCTTTTGACTACATAGAGAAGTGGTTATGACCAGAGCTCTATGGCGGGATTGTTTGGCCTATAGACTTTATTAGATGATCCGAGCCTTTATGCACTATTAGGTGGTTTGGCCAATATGCTCCATTTGGTAGTTTGGTAAATTAGGCTCTACCATATTACAGACATGGTTGTATCTCTCATGTTTCTCAATGGCTTTGCTTATTTGGGTTGTGAGCTATAGGATATACTTCATGAGGCATAAGTCAAATGTTAGCTACAGTGACTTGAATTTGTCCCCTTAAAAAAACATTCACCCCAAGTCTACAAAGTTCCCTTGTACGAAACAACCCATGACTCTTGACAATGATCTTTCTGTCAGCTTGAGCAGACTACCTCATCTAACTAAGTTGGTCATATACCATAACAACTTGGGTTGACAAAGGTCATGAGGTCTTGATCAGGCTTGTCGTCTTTTTCTTTACATCTGCTTTTAAGCTATGGTGATAATTCTATAATTCAAAACTTTAATTTTGTTCCACAATATGCTAAATTTGACTACTGAGTGTCTAATGACTAACCTTAATTGGAAATGTTCTCCCATTATCAAAAAGGGATAATTAAACATAGTAGCTTCCGACTATGGGAAACCTCGAACCCTTGATTTCAAAGTTCTCACAGTATGAGGGTGAAATCTCTGAGTAGTATCTTATCTACCATCTCATTTGTCTTCTGAAATTTTGACCAAAAACCTCACGATAAACTAACATCATCTTCTTTTTCTTTCTTTTTGTGGGAAGTCGAGGTATACAAATTTTCAGAGCCCACCCATATGAGTTATTGTAAATGAATCGAAAATTGAATAACATCATAGGTGTTTTGCCAAGTTTATTAATCAATTCACAAAGTTATCTAAATTAATATTTAAGCAAATCTATTTTGGATTTTAAAACCAATACAATCATATGTGACCATGAACACTAACCTAATTAATAGATATTCACTTATACTATATATGATTTTACCTCAACTATATATATTGTAGAGTTTTTGCCCATCAATACCATCTAAAACCCTAAACCCTAAACTTTAAACCTCCATGCACAAGTAGCAAAAGTAAAAATACTTAATAAAACTAATTGAGAAGAATACTTCTCTAGTATTACTTATTATTCATTTCAATTCTATTCTCATTTCTAATTACACCAATGCTCTTTAACAACAAAAAACCAAAACTTAAAAAAAAAAAAAAGAATATCAAGACTCAAATTAAATCCTAACATTTTCTCAATATTTTTAATAATTTATATCAACGAAATTAATTTACACCCACACGAATGCCCCATATCCCATGCTCCTTCAAAATTTAGCTAATACACAGCTCCGCATAAACATTACCCTAACCGTCTCCCAAAATAGGAAACTCCGCCACCTCTCCATCCCATGCCCCGCGCCACGCCACCAGCTCCTCCTCTCCTTCCCCTCCCCATTCCATTAACCACCCATCTACCCCCTCCTCCTTTCCCCACCCTCCCTCCACCTCCGAAATGTCAACGAA